TTTAACATTAGCAAGTTTTATTAATGTTTAACAGAAAAGAAACCAATAGAGATGAGGTCTATAGATTAATTATTTAAATCATCTTATCTATTACAATTTGAATATGCGACACGTCAGTGAACCCGAAAGTGCAACTGCTTTCTCTAAAAATAAAATTAGGAGAATATTCTTTTCTTTTCTTTTCTTTTTGTTTTAATCCAATATAGAAAGAAGAAAGCCTATCAACTTTGTCGATTTTCTTTTCTTTTAGATCCTTTACACCGTTGTGATTAGCTTCTTATTTATTAATTACGAGTCGGAAAAAAAAGTTTCTTATTAGTTCACAAAAAAAAAACCAGAAACTCCCTTTACAAGAAAATGTAATAAATGTAACAGTACAGCGATGGTGAATAGAAATAAAACAATTATATTAAGTGAAACTGCTGATGTAACATTAGTACCATCATCTTGAATGTCTAGGTAAAAGTGTTAATCATCTCTGCATTCATTCATACTTACACTTCAACAGGTGAAAAGAAACTATTTAATTTATCTTTAGTTTATGTTGAACATTATTTTGAAATTGATTTAGATATTATTGTAAATGAATTTGTATCGAAAAAAAAATATTTCGAAAAAAAAACTAAATTGATTAATGTAAGACTTGAATTAAAAAATTGTTCACTTCTTCGAAAAAGTTTTCTGTGTGCCGCTTATAATAGTTTCTATCAGACTAGTTCTTCTTCTTATATTCTAATTATTTCTTAAGAAAGTAAACACAACCCATACCAGACAACTTAATCGATAAACATTGTCTTTTCAACTCTAGCATCAACAGTATGATCTACAATTCGGTAAAAATATGGAATAAAATAAAACTAGTTTGAAGAATCACAGTATCATATTCATCTTTGCAGTTATCGTGAAAAATTCAATTTCGCTGCTCTATGAATTAATTATAAAAACTATATTTTTAAAAATTTTGCGCTGATCTGGTTTAAATAGTACTAAGTAAGACAATTAATAGGAATAATCTTCTAATGTCTTGCTAATTGACATTTTCCATAAATATGTTAATATCAGTCAGACTAATCTCTGACATGATTTTAATTGTTGGAAACATATGTCAACATTTTTTGTTGATCTCAAGCCAAAAACAAACTCTAACAAATTTCATTTTTAATACTATGCATATATATAACATTAAATCGAACTATTTATGCTGTCAATGCTTTAGACGAAAGTTCTGCAGGGCAAACTTTTTCGTACTCTGAATCGTGTTTGTCCCATTAACTAAAAGTCAGCTGACTGCATAAAGTGCGTATGCCAACTTATTGCTTCTCACTCGTTTAGTTGCTACAACAATTTTTTCTCTTCTTTTTGTCGACGTATTAGTTACGGCTCAAGTCAGCTATTCGTTTTTCATACGTAATCATCATTTCGAAATGAGAAAAATTTTGCCAAGATTGTAAGAATATCATGAGTGGACATCTAAAATTCGTTTTTCAAAAACTCGATTCTGTTCACAGTTGTAAAAAAGTGAAAAACGATACGTAACAGCTGAGAGTTTTTCATACATGGTCATATATGACTTAATCTAAGACACACCATTGACATTTCAGATGTAATACGAACTAAAATGTACGAAAGTTTTTAATATAAAGATTAAAAATAATCTAGATGTCGGTTTTTCTATATTGTCCCGAATATTATTTGTCTCATTCATTTCTTCATAATTAGAATTATCTCGATTATAATCATCTCGCGAGACAAAACAAACAAGAGTTTTTGAGATTCGTGACTGTTCCATAGGATTCTATTTTAAATAGACTTCATTAATAATATCATTTGATTACTTCTAATTGTCATTTATATTATAAAACAATTTGATTACGATCTAATAATAGATTAAATAAATTACTAATTTTTTTTTCTATTTTTATCATTTAGATTTCTCAATTACATGAAGATATTCTTTCTGGTATAAATAAATATGGTGTAGTGAATCATGAAAAGTATGGAAAAATTTATGCATTTGAAACTAATGGTTTTTCTCAACATTTACTTATTGATGATGCTAATGTACCATCATTACTTTCTGCATCTTATCTTGGTTTTAAAACACCTCATGATCCAGCAAATCAATTAATTCAATCAACACGTCAATTTGTTTTATCAGTAGATAATCCTTTCTTTTTTCAAGGTAAATTTGCATGGGGTATAGGAAGTCAACATACACAAAAAAATTATGTTTGGCCAATGGCTATTATTATGGAAGGATTAACAAATAATATTGCCAATAATACAATTAAAGATTTAGATTCTGTATGGCAAAGATTAGAAGCAAGTCATGCTGATACATTTGCTATGCATGAAAGCTTTAATGTTGATGGTCCATCACAATTTACTCGCAAATGGTAAAATAAATTAACATAAAAAAATTTCTTTATTTATTTTGGTTTTTAATAATTGTAGGTTTGCTTGGGTTAATTCTCTTTTCGCTGAATTGATCTTAACTCATTTAGAACAATTGGAAGATTGGCTACAGCATCGACGATCAACTTAATTTAGATCAATAAGCTATAAACTAGTTTTTTAAATATAAAGTTAGATAATCAGAAATCTCTGTTTTTTTTGTCATTGTTAACTATGAATCACTGCAATGGAAGAAAACTTTTTTTACAATAAAAAAAGATTTTAATTTCAATGAAATATATTTGATTTCTTTTTTTAATTCTTGGAGTACAGACAATGAAAAGAACACAAACACAAACACAAACACAAACGGTGAAATCGATAAAAGAAATTCACAATAAAGCTATTAGGAAGTTTGAGAATAGTCTAAATCGTTCTTGTCTGTCCCACTTGAAGTTCACTTTATTTACTCATAGATCCAGCGTTCGGCTGTATGTACCCAATTGGAGACTTCATCTTTTCGGAACCATAAATCAATTTCACGTTTAGCTGCATTTTCCGAGTCACTACCATGAACAATATTACTAAAATTTAAAACGAACAAAAAACAATTAATATTAATTTTTTTAATATAAACATTATATCTTACCGTCCTGTAACAATTGCATAATCACCACGAATTGTACCGGGTTCAGATTTAGCTGGATCAGTAGCACCAAGCATTTTACGACCAACTGATATAACATTTAAACCTTCCCAAACCTAAAAAATAGACAAAAAATATGATCTTAAATATTAAGTACAACACAATACGAAATACCATAGCAACGACGGGTCCACTGCCGATGTAGGTTAAAAGTGGTTCATAAAATTTCTTGCCTAAAAAATAAAAAAAATTCTAACTACAGAAAAATTAACATCTTGTTTTTTTCTTACCTTTGTGTTCTTCATAATGGCTTTCAAGCAAAGCTTTGGGTGCCTGTAATACGAAAAATAAAAAATAATTTCGTTCAAAATATAAAATAAAATTTTTTTAATCTCACTTGAATCATTTTAAGTGCAACAAGTTTGTATCCACGTTGTTCAAATCGTCGAATTATGTCACCAACAAGTCCACGTTGGACACCATCTGGTTTAACCATAATAAAAGTACGTTCAGAAGCACCAGCCATATTTAAGGTACTAAGTTTAGATGATGATGATTGATCGAAAATCTAAAAGATATAAAATCAAAATTAATATAAAAACTATCTGTATACACGAATGCTTCAGGTCATGTCGTTTCATTTGCATATATGTCTTCCATATAGAGGCAAAAGTAAAATTATAAAATAACGAAAGAAAAGAACGAGCAGTAGAAATATATATAAACCCCTTGCTCTTAAAGAAAGAAAAAAAAAGCCAATAGTGTAATGCAAGAAATAAGTGAGAAAGAAAAAAAAATAAAATATCTGCTCAGCTGGCTCGCTCACTAACCAAAATACACACGCGGTGACGTGTGCATCATTGTCGAGGTTAAACAAATCCAATCTCTCTTTTTCTCCATTAATTTGTTCAACAATAGATGGCAATAATTCATATACAAACCTGATTTTCACATATTGAATGAGCATCATCTTTATTTGAACAATATTCTTGTTGATTATTGATGTCGATATTTGTATTTAATTTTTTACAGGAAATATATCTGATGGTTGTCACGGAGATTAACAATATAATAAACTCCGGCACTGAATTTTTTTGTGTCATTTTATGCTTCAGTTTCTCTAATGAAATATTTCAGAATGTAATGGTTGGTCTTCAATTCACCATTAGATTTATGGGAGAAAGAAAAAAACAAATACGAAGATATAAATAAGATATTTTATATAATAAAATTACTGGCATTGGAGTGAATGTGACAGGTTTTTCTAATGTTTCAAATAAGAAAAAAAAATATTCAACTATCTGCAATAAGTAAAACTTTAATTTTTAGCTATTTCCATATTCCTTGAACTTTGCCTAATCTTTGACAATTAATTTTTTTGTCAATTATGCTTGATGTTTCGTAATCTTGATGTATTAGAATATTCTTTAATTTAACATAAATAATTTCCTTTTCAAGGGTTTATCATGCATAATGTTGCCAACATCTAATTTCATTTTATCCTCGAATGATAATATGCTATTTTTGTTTAGAGCATCAACATATGAATATATTTATTAATATTACTGGCATACTTCTATGAAAATAGTAAATATAATCTTTTTTTATCGTTCTTAATAAAGAAATTTATCAAAATATCTTTAACTAAGATTTCTCTCAATGTATTTTTCTGTATATTTGTTCACTCTTGATTATATTTGATTTATTATTAAATTGTACATGATGAAAGTAAACAAGATTACATAACAGCAGCAAGAGTAGAGATTAAAAAAGAAAGAAAGATAATAGAATTACAGATACCACTCTGCAATTTTTTTTATTAGTTATCTGATCGCATACATGCTGTCTGTTTGTTGCGATCTGTTTTCTTTTTACTTCTAAAAGACGAAAAAACAAAGTCAAAATTAAATATCGAATATTGTTCATATGGTCTATTTCTTTTCTTTTGTACCTTGATTATTTATCTACCGCTAAAGAAAAAAAAAAATGAAAAAGTTTTTATTTAAAAATATCAAATGATTTATTAACTCACACAATATAAGGATCCATTTCAGGTGGATATGGATAAGATTTAACTTTACGAGATTCAAGCATTTGATGAATAAAATCAATTGATATTGGTCCTTCTACTGTATGTCTCCACCGTTTAACAAATTGAGTTTGTGATCGATTAGAACAGAATTCTCTTAAAAAACAAAAGAAAAACAAATTAGGTAAAAATATTTTCAAAAATTTTACATACGATAATTCATTGAATCGAACAACTGATGGTAACTCATTGTCTTTGTTGTTATTATTCCAATTTAATTGATCACTAAAAAAATAAATAAGATTTTTTATTTCAGAAAAATAAAATTTCATAAAACTAACCGTTTAGCAACTTGTTCACATGATTCAAATATATTAAAAGCAGGCGGTTGACCATGTTCTTCAATAAAAATACTTAGAAAATTTGACATTTCTTCTGAATCTTTTGAAATACTTTGAAATAAAATAATCATTTTAAAAATTAAATAGTTTAGTTTAAGAAGTTTGTACCTGCATAAATAAGCATGAAAATCATGTTTTTTATTATGTGACTTAGTTCCAGTCTTTGAATTCGAATCATGATGATGAAGCTTATGACTTGTGGATAAAAATCTGTTCATATCAGGAAATGGCATAACAAAACGTTTACTCCTTGTTATTTAAAATAAAACAAAAAAAAAATTTTAAATTGAAAACAAAAAGAAAAACATAACAGAAAATTTACTGTGTTTCAGGTTTTATTGTTTTAGAATCCGTTGAATATTTTTGTAAGCTAAATGATATATTTCAAATGAAAACAATTATATTCAATATTAAACTTACTGTGAGATATACGAGCAGAGCATATCAATTTGAGTAGAAGCTAGATTATGATGACTAAAAATAGATATGAAAGAATAAATACAAATAACACCAATTAAAAGAAATTTACTTCGAAGAAATATGTAATGGGTGACTATGAATTGAATACGTGATTGTTAACATAACAAGACATGATGCGATAGTGGTAAAGAAATTCATCTTGATCTTTTTTTAAGAATATTAATTGGAAAAAAAAAACTATAATCTAAAATAAAAGAAATGTCAGTACCTTTTTTGAAGTCATATCTATTTTATAATCACAGATGGAAAAAAAAAGAACAACTGGTAAAATTAGCTAAATATATTCCTGTTCATAGGTTATTTTTATCAATATGTTCTTTCTCAGGTATTTTCATTATTCAATGTTTACCTTTTGAGAAAGTCATACGTTCGGTATATTATGACAACTCGTGCATAATATTAGCTTGACTAACGTCACTTAGTTATGTAAACGTAAATATCAAACAAAACAAAGCAAAAAAATTGAAAAGCAAAATTGTTTTTCCGTAAAGAATTCTCCCACATTATTGATCAATCTTTGACGTCAAACCACCAAATTAATTCTGCGTAATTTATGATAAAAAAAAATTTTATTTGTTGTTAACATATATAAGTGCACCTATTATATTTCCATAAGTTGATTTTGTTTTGAGTATAAACTAGCATGTTGAGTAATAAGAGCTAATGAAACGATAATAATCCAAATGCAAAACCAAGTAATGAGAAAAGAAGCCGCTTATTTAAGCAAAAGCTTCTTTGAGGAAAAAACAAGACAGATGAATTGGTATTTTATTAACAGCGACAATGTTAAGATATGAATCTAAATTATATCTCTACAAGACAGATATTCCTACGCCACCTACTAGTTTACAAGCAACTGTAGACTTCTGTGATCTGTCTGTCATTACCTTATAAAATATATGAAATGATCTCAGTGTGGTTTGTTCCATTGTTGTTATCATGGTTGCTCATAGTAACTTTAACTATAAAGACAAATGATAGAAATAATATACTCAGCGACTATTCGGTTTTTAATAATTCGATGTAAACATATTCAACATCTCTTATATATTTTTTTCTCTCTCTCATTCTTAAAACTCATATGTGGTATCCTGTTGCGATCTGACTTAAATATTGATATATAATTAGTCAGAACATTGAAATCGATTGACGCATTTTTCTACGTGAAATTAATTTACAGATGTTTATATGCAGCAATTTAAGTAGAAAATATATGCTAACCGCGTATTTTGTTTTCTATTGAAATTATATGCATATATATTCAACAGCTGGAACAATGCACAATAGATAGACACTTACAGTTCTACTCCTACGTTTTATATTGCTAATAATAAGGCAATGCAATATGCATGCATTCTGAGTAATTTTGTCTATAAAATTAATGAGAAGAGAAAGAAAAAGACTATAACTATTTTATTTTTATAATTACAGAAAACAAGAGAATGCCTTTTCTATCGTGTGATGTTCACATGAGTTTGTATGTGTCATGACTAATTTTATTTCATTTCAATCAGAAAGAATTTCAGTTTGAAGGCAAATAATAGCGACACTTACGGCAAAGGCATAGATCCGTTATGTGCATGACTTGGTTAAACTTTTTACGTTTCATGATTGATAAAGACAATTCATAGTTTATCGGGTCCTTGCCAGTTCTGAATAGTCATTTTCTAAAAACATTAACCACACTCATATTTGACATCTGCTAAGTGTATCGATCACATAGTTATTTTTATAATTACAGTGCTTAATATAGTCTAACATTTTAGAGTTGTTTGTGTCAAAAACTTTGCAAAAATAATGTGTTCTCAAAATCATCGATTTGATTATCATATCAACAATTAAAATAGAGAAATCTACTCACCATTGAAATCATGCGATTATGATTAATAACATACTTACAAAGTATGAAATAAGTTCTGACTATTCGAACTGAACTGCAAGTAGAAATTATGTATCTGAATCACATTACATTGACATCCTGTTAAAGATATAAATATTTCTTGTATGTGAATTTAGAAAAAATAGATTTTTTTTCTTCGAACTAATGAATTTATACATAGATAAAAAATATAGAACAATATTCATATATTTACTAGTACGATGGTGCGAATTATTCATATGTTTATCTAACGATATGGCACATAAGAAAAGTGGTAGAGAGAAGCGCGAGAAAAAAGTTGAGAGCTAGAAAAAACTGCTTATTCAAATCTTTAAAAATAACAAGGCTGAAAAGTTTCTATTCATGCTACGATATATTTTTTCTTTCAATAAAAAAAAGGATGAGTTTTGCTAGGTAAAAATGATAGTTTTCTCGAAGCGAAGGGTTAGCTTGCTCTTATAATTCCCATTTCCTTCCTCTTCGAGACGCCTCGTCACATTATTTATTATTAAATACATTTCGGAGACTATGATAAATTTATGACGTAATGTTTTATTTAATATTCCAAGAAATCATGAATTGGATGAGTTGTCTTTTTGAATATAAATTATATACTTAAAGAGTTCAATTTGTTTTATTATATTATGTATAAAATATTCATGAAGATCTTATTGTTTGCGAATTAATCCAACAAAACCAAAAAGTCATCTCATGAACATCGAATAAAAATGTATTGATTAACTTGTTTTTATTTGTGTTTATTGATGATTTTATGGATGAGAGTGCGTTAATCTTTGCTAATATATTTATAACTCAAATAGATTTGTCAAAAAACAATGTAATAATAGAACTAGTTGTTTGTATACTTGCTGTTCTAGTTTGTTTTAAACTGAACTATGAATGTGCAATTTGTGTGAACATGAAATCGAACAATTATCATCATGGGAGATCTGTTTGATAAGATTCTGATTATTCATTTGACTATTATCATTATTACATCTCTCTTGATAACATTTCTCATACGATTTAATGTGCTTTTTCTAGCATCTAGAGATTGATAACTTGAAAAATTAGTTAAAATACGAATTACAACTATAGTTTGAAATTTAGTTTCAGTTTAACTTACACCATAGCTGATATAAAAAATATGGGTTCCAATAGAATATAACTATATTTTATTAATAATATAATCATTTTTATCAACAATGAACATTTGGCACAGTTTCAAGCACTTTATCAAATAACGCCTAACTTCTCTTCATCTCTAAAATATCATGAAATTTACCACCAGGTATAAATTTTTATTTTTAATAAAATATGGATAATTATTTATTAAATGGTCAAATGTATTATATACGTTCTGAACAAAAAAAAACTATTTTTTTAATTGCTTTTATAGATATAAATAATTAAACGCGTGAATGCTGTCTTGAATATTAGAAACAAACTTCCACAAAGTACATAAATAGTTCACAGGCTACAGTATTCTCATTATACTGTAGAGTCAATTAATAGATGAAGGTAGTTATCATATCAAAAAAAAAGCTTCCAGAAATGTTTTTCGATACAGTTTTTGCCGACGAAGCAGAAAATAAAGATTCCTGACTTATTTTTAAATAAATAAACAGGCCTGAAAAACATTACAAAATTTACATTTTTTTTTTATTGCTTGCAGGCGCCAGTTATTCATTATCTTGTAATACTGCCGATATTTAGAAAAGACACAAACATTATTCTAATACTTGATTTTAAGGCAAAAAAAAACAATATATTTGACTTAATACGAACTATTTTGTTTTCTTTATTTAACTAAATGAATTTTTCTTAGAATTAGTCATTTCATGAATAAACAATATAATAGACATAATCAAAAAGAGTAAGACAGTTTTGACACACAGCAAAGTTCTATTTTAAAATGGCTCTACTGAAGGACGAAGATCAAGTTCTTGCGTCCATGTTGAACGAGGTTGAATATGTAATTGCCAATATGTCTCAGCAATCTAAAACAAATAAAAATTCCATTCAATGGAAAAAAAAGTTAAGATACTGAATGACTCATACCGAATCACTATTAAGAAATGATTCAATATCTTTGTTAGGTTGACCTAAGTATGTAATCAATGATTGCTTGGTTTTTTCTGAGAAGAAAAATAATCTTACTTTGAACTTGACTAGGTGTGTTAATTAATCCATCAATAATTATATGAGCAACATGAATACCTTTTGGACCGAATTCACGAGCCATCGATTGAGCTAATGCACGTAAAGCAAATTTTGCTGCAGCAAATCCAGCAAATTCGGCTGAACCACGAAGACTAGCCGTTGCACCAGTAAACAATATTGTTCCTTTGCCATTTTTGATCATGCTTGGAAGAACCTATGAATAATTATAATCAAAAACCTAATTTTTTTTCTCACTTGTATTTACTTCTTGACTGGCAACTAAACCACCAACAACGCAGACATTAAGTGCTTCTTGAAGTGCTTCAGGTTTCAAATCCAACAAACTTTCTTTAATATAGAATAAATTATATTTGATTAGAAAAATACAAAAAGAAAAGAAAATAATTCAAGTTACTATAAAGAAATCCACTAGCATTGTATAACAATACTTCAGGATCCTTGCCAAATTTTGCTCGAATTGTATTAAAAGCATTTTTTACAGATGATATATCACCAGCATCAGCTGTAACACTCAAAGCTATAACATATAATATGTAGGTTAATATCAATATATATATATGATAACAACAGAACTTAATCACCTGTATGACCTTGTTGTTCGAGTTCTTTTTGTACAGGTTGTAAACTACTTTCTTTTCGTGCAATAAGACCAATGGAGTAACCACCAGTTGCAAATCTTTAAGAAAAAAAAAAGATTTTAATATTAATCAAATATTATAAATAAGATTATACCGTTTGGCTAATGCTGCTCCCAAACCTGGACCTACGCCTATAATTATAATCAAGATTAATTCATGAAGAAAAAAAAAATTATTCCTCCTATATTTACTTACCAATAACTACTGCAATTGGTTTTGTTGATGTCATTTCTTTTATTATTTCACGAATATATCTAAAATCAAAACATTGCATAACTTTTTATACCTTTAATAAAACTGCATGGTCATATTATGATGACGTATGCAAAAAAAAATGTATTTTCGCATTGTTAGTCATTATAGATGGCAGAATAGTTTTTCGTTTTCTTTTATCAATTCTTTTACTAAATCCATTACTATTTGTGGTTGTTCCATTGGAAAGAAATGTTTCGAATTTTCTAATTTTGTGTCTCGTCCTTTTTGAAACCATTTAACTAGATTAGGTACTGTTGGTGATGTATCAAATTGACCGAAATTATTTGGAAATGTTGATCTTACAATATGTATTGGAATATCTTTAATAAATTTTGATTTTTCAATTAATGGATATAAATTTGATTCGGCTAGTATACTTGATGTATATATTGATGCTTCTCCATTGGGTGCACATACAAGTTTATTATTCTCATCAAGAGCATAAGTACAATAACTACGAAGAGTCTCTGGTGGCCATCGTGAAAATGGCTCACGTTTTTCTAAACTTGATATCATATCTTCAACAGATAACCATTGACTTTTTCGGCGTACAATGTAATCTAAAGTAGACGAATAATCATGATCTTGATACATTGATCGATGAAAAATAACAGGATCGAGTAAGAGTAATGATTGAAATAGTCGGCTTGATGCTGCTGCTGCAGCACGAGTCAAAGAATATCCACCTAGAGAATGACCAACACCAATAAGGTTATCTTTGTTAAGATTAAGTGTTTCAATAAATTGTAAAACATCTTCTCCATGCCATCGAAAAGGATAAGGAGGTGGATGTGTTTGTGATCGACCATGACCTCGAAAATCCAAAGCAATTACATGAAAACCATGTAAAGCTTCATTAATAATACGATCATAGCATCGACCATGGAAGGATGCAGCATGACAAAAAAGTATTGTAGGTTGACGACCTTGCCATTCCCAATAATGAAGTTTAAGTGGCCCTTGAACCGTTTCACCATTAGTCTGAACGATTGGACGATTAGATAAAGTAATAAAATGACTACTTGGACAAGTTGACATCATGCGACGAAAAATACGAGAAAAAGTAAAAATCATATAATCTAAAAAAGAAAACATAAATTTAATCATATCTTCTATTTATTATTAATTTATTTGTATAGCGATGGGCATGTTGTACTGTAACTTAGATGATATGTCGTTTTTAGAATCTTATTTGATTATAATAAAAATGGATAGAGTCTTGATTTTCATAGGTTCGACTGAAGAACAATTGTTCTGTCATGAAAAATTTGAATATTTCTGTATTGAAACATTCATATCTATAGCTATCCAGATTAATATTTTGATTTTTCTCTTCAATAAAGAAAATGATCTGAAATATGTTTACTATCAAACAAAATAATTCTCAAGTTATATGATGCTTTTATTTTTGAATTCATTGTTGTGTTTGTAAGAAAAAATCGAGAAGCAAATACATCGTCATAATGACGTATATATATATTACGATTAAATTTGAAATATGATTAAATTCTGTATATATCAGGATGAAATCAGAATTCCTGTTTTGTCTGAACGTATTGAAAATTTGACTAGAAGTAAATTAATCAAGCTGAAGATAAATGAAAAGCTTGTTGCATTTGAAAAATACCACTTATATCGAACAAGTGACAATCCTTAATATTATAACTTATGGACCAAAATATTTTAAGTATCCTACTTTAGAATGGTATATAATCGAACGAAAAATTCTTGCTTTTTCATATAGACATTATTTTATGAAAGGTATTGATTTAGATTCACTTCTCAATCTACTAAATCTAAGTTTATTTGCTTCAGTCAGTGTAATATTTTCTTAATTCTTCTGTACAGATTGATTTTAAATCAGTTCAATCGTAAAATTTATTTCTAATATCTCATATTGACAAACTAAATCATACAAATATTCTTTGTAAAATGAAAAAATATTTTTATTTGTTCAGACTCTAACTTTGTTTAACTCAATGGTCACCTCTCCTAAATCGATTATAGCTTAGAGAAATTCGAATGGCATGAAATTTTCAATTTGATACTACGATGTTTTCAGAAGATTTTCAGCTAAGAAGAATCAAAATTAACTCATTAGGCAACTCAAGATTCTCTCTGGACCTTCAATATATTGACTTACTTCTTTGATTTAATAGAGCATGTCAGGATGCACAGCATGACACAGTCTTTTTGTTCACATTCTTAATTTTGAAAATGAAAAATTTAATGGCTCTAAAACATGGCGCTCTAATTATAAAAGTCCTCTCTTAGATAATAGTAACAAAGCGCCATTTAAAAAAAAACGAGCTGTGTCATGCCTAGCATCTTGACATGATCTTTTAAACAAAAAACAAAATCATTAACAATAATGAAGTTTCTTCGAGAATTCTGAGAGGAGCAATCAACAACACATAAACAGAGAAAAAAGTGAAAAAAAAAAGATTTTCCACTTCATCTGAAAAAATTATATTTTATAAGCAGAAAATGACAGAAATTTTTGGAAAAAAAACGAGATGACAAATAAAAGAATCACGTTATTTATGAAAATTTTCGCAATTTTTACAACAACTAACTTTGTGAGGAAAGCGTAATTAATTTACTTGTAATTTAATTTTAATTTTGTCGAAAAAATAATTCAGTTCAAAATTCGAATTTCTGTTTAGACCAAAACATATGTTTTATTTGTTATTCTATTAGAATCATCTAAAGTTGCGAATGTATATTTTCTTTAATCATCTCTTTCACAAATTTAGCTGTTAACTCTGGTTGTTCCATCGGAAATAAATGTGTAACATGTTTTATATAAGTATCTCGTCCTTTTTTAAACCATTTTACAAGATCAGGTGCTGTTGGTGATGTATCAAATTGACCTACACTTAATGGAAGTGATGATCTTACGATATGTATTGGAATATCTTTAATAAATTTTGATTGTTCAATAAATGGATAAATATTTGAATAAGTTTGTAAACTTGATTGATACAAGGAATGTTCTCCGTCCGCAGTACATGTAAGTTTAGAACTTTCATCCAATGCATAAGTACAATAATTTCGAACAATATCTTTTGGCCATCGTGAAAATGGTTCACGTTTTTCTAATCTTTCTATCATATCTTCAACAGATAACCATTGATCTTTTCGACGAAGTATATGTTCTAATGAATCATGTCTCTTATCACCAATACCATATAATGAATGAGAAATAATACCAGGATCAAATAGAAGCAAAGATCGAAATAAACGTGTTGGTGCTATTGCTGCAGCATACGTTAATACATATCCACCTATAGAATGACCAATACCAATAAGGTTATCTTTGTTAAGATTAAGTGTTTCAATAAATTGTAAAACATCTTCTCCAAGCCATCGAACATGATACGGGGGTGGATGTGTTTGTGATCGACCATGACCACGTAAATCCAACGCAATTACATGAAAACCATGTAAAGCTTCATTAATAATACGATCATAGCATCGACCATGGAATGACGCAGCATGACAAATAAGTATTGTAGGTTCATGACCTTTCCATTCCCAATAGTGAAGTTTCAATGGACTTTGACTTATTTTACCATTTTCCTGAACAATCGGACGGTTAGGTATATTAACAAAATGACTAGTAGGATTCGAAGACATCATCGACAAAAAAAAATACAATTAGAAAAGAAAATTTGTTTATCTAAAGAAGTTCATTTAAAGACAGATAAGCTATAGAAAATCAAGAATAACTTTCAATTATTAGTAAAGCAAAAAAACAAACAGTAAACAGTACAAGAATTAAATCAAAACCTAATTCGTTAGCAGTCATCTTGTTTAATCAAATCTTTTGAATATAATTCATCAGCTTGATATATTACCGTTCATCCATAACATGTTTTTTTTTAAATCCATTGAAGCTAATTGATGATATATATATATATATAAAGATTTAAATATTTTAAAACATCAAAACAAAAATACAAATTAAATAAGCAGCGAAAAATAAAAACCAAGTTGATATTTATCAATTTTATTCCAAAAACAAAAAAACATTTTAGAATAATATTTTTTGCAAACAACAGCAAACACTAGCAATCTTTAAGTATAAAAAAAATGTTCACCTAAATCCATGCATGAATAACATATTGAGACTAGAATATAAATAATAATAATAAAACAGAATAAATATAAAATTCATATCTTATGTTTTAATCTTATCGGAGGATGAAATAATTATGAATATGAATTATTTAATTATAAATCTGATTGATTAATTAATTTATGTTTAACAAGTAATCTTTGTATATCAGGATAAATATGCCGAATATTTATGTCTGATCCATATGCTTTAATAACTTTACCATTTGGATCAATTAAATATTTCCAAAAATTCCAAGATGGTGGTTCAGTTTTTTCTAAGCAAAAAAACAAACTTATCAATAAAAACATATTTATTATAAGATGAATCTATTTACCACTTAAAAATCTCCAAACATCTGGTAATTCGTCGTCGTTCTCGTGTTGTTGTATAACAGCACCTTTAGCAAAAATAGGAAAATTAATATCAAACATATATTGAGCCCATGATTGAATTTGTGCATCATCCTTGAGAGATAAAATTTTCAAAAAAAAAAATATTTTTTTAAAAATTATTTACTTTTGGTTCTTGATAGCCAAATTGATTACTAGGAAAAGCAAGCACTTGAAAGATATTTCGACCACCGTTATTAATTTTTTGTTGAATACCAACAAGTGCTTCAAAATGTGAATCAGTAAATGAACATTCACTAGCTACCTGTTTTAATTAAACGAGATTAATATTTAAACAAATTTTTTTTTTCTGAACACAAATATTTTTTCTTTTAAGTTTCAGAATAAAAAAATAATAATATTTCAAAGTACTGATAACTAGTTGTCAAAACACAAGTTATCTTTTATTAGTTATCTCTTTTTTTGTAAGTGTTTCTGATTAGTCAGAGTTTTTAGTTTGATTTTCAGCTGTTGCCAATTAAAAATATCAAAATTTCTTTAATACTA